CCTAATCCTCTTCCGTAGTTTTCTGTGCATCCATCTGCAGACCTAATAAACCGGGGCTGACTGCTAAACTCTGAGATTCAAAGCTCAGGTGGAAGGATTCTAATGGCAGAGCAGCTAGAAACTCAGCAAATCTCAATCAAAATCAAATCTGCTGTTTATGATGATGTAGCAGCTATAAAAGTCCTGTTTCTGTTTGCAAACAAGTTTTGGGAGCAAAATATGTAACAAGCTGCTCTGGAAGTTTAGACCAAAAAGTAGCTTTATAACCAACATGCAGGATGATTCCTACAGTAAAACCTCAGTAAGAAAATCCATTTAGGGTGAAAAACACATAAGACTGAGGTATGGGACTCTAAAAGTGTAAAAAGAAAAAAATCATTTCACTTTCCTTCCATTTTTTTGCAAATTGTTGTGCTGGTGTATCTCAGCAGTTCCCATAGTGGGATTTTATTCAAAATGTAAAATAATTCACATTGTATGTATAAATTAATATGGAGTGAATCATTCTATGAATTTTAATTCGGTCTGAAATGTTTGAAAACCTCTCCACTATCTAATAAAATCCCACAATGTCCAAAAATCCATAAAATCCATAAATAGGACTTTGTGACACTTTCTGATCAAAAGGTTATGAGAGTAACTTTGCTTTTTTTCTCAGATTTTATTTTTCATATTTGATGTATTTATATAGATTGAGATTTACAAATGTTATTTTTTCCATATCACATTCTTTATGTTTCATTTATTGGTTAAGAGGGAATGTTCGGATGGGCTTGAAGTGAAAAGAATGTGATCTGTCAAGAAAATTGAAATATAAAAAGATTTTTTAACATCACATTTTTCACATAAAAAGTGAAAAAAAAAAATTAAAAATTCACAAAATCCAGAAATGAAATGTTTTTAACCTCACATATGTGAATTGATTATATATATGTGTGTGTATATAAAAAATTATATTAAAAAAAACACTTTATTTGCCATGGAAACGCCTTTATTTCCATTAAGTTTGAAATATGACAGGATTGTAAACTCTGTTTTGTTTTGCAGGGCCCGGGGCCGGCTGCGGAGACCAAGTTTTAACCCCCGCAGAGGAACAAAAACATGGAGCCGCAAATAATAAATGTATTTTAGAAGTTGTGTTATTTGGATATTTTAGAGATACGATTTTATAGATTATAAAATTATTGCAAAGAGTTAAATACATTTTAGTAAATAAAGACACATTTTTTTCCAAATTAATGGTATATGATATATTTCACTGAGAACAAAGTCCAAGTGAGGAAAGACTGAGTCCCCCTGATTACGCAGGAGGTGGGGTTACCACTCTACTCGCTCTGGAGAGCAGA